GGATTATTTGCTCAGCATTCAGCTTGAATAAGTATGATGAAAGGATAGTATGAGGAAAATATGGATCTGGAATGGGCACAAATATGGATCTCTTGTGATTGATTGGCCAGGTATCTGTCTTCCATATTTCATGACATAGATGAGTAAGTGCCTCCAGTGCTTCATGAGTTTGTTGAACATTTTCAATGTGTATTCCATCAGTTCCTGGAGCCTTGTTTTTCTCCAATGCCTTCAGTGCAGCTTGAACTTCTTCCTTCAGTATCAACTTCTTGATCATACACTACCAATTGAAATGGTTGAATAGTGACCATTTCTCTTTGGTACAGTGATTCTATATATACATTCCATCTTCTTTTTCTTTTTAACTTTTCCTTGTGAATTGAGAGAAGTTTTATAGAGCAGGTCATTAGTTTTACATTCAAGAAATCATTTAATTTGCTTAGTTACAATGATTGCAATCCCCTCCATGTACATCAGTTAATCTTATTTTCCTCTATTCACTTTAACTCTTACTTTCATCCCTGTGTCTCCCACTACCTTCATGATTCCTCTGCCAACCTCCCTTTTATTGTACATAGCCTGTATCGTCACCCAGGGTAACATGTGTCTACCCTCGTTGTTGTTGTTGTTAAGTGCCATCAAGTCAATTCTGACTAATAGCAACCCTGTATAGGGTTTCCAAGGAGCAGCTGGTGAGTTTGAACCACTAACCTGTGGTTAGCAATCCAGTACGTATTCTAATTTTCCCTTCCCCCACACTAGTAACCTTCATAGATGCCTTTTAAAAAACTTTTTACAACATTTGTGATTGTCCAAGCTAACTTCATTTAGCATAATGCCCTCCAGGTTCATCCATGTCACAAGGTGTTTCACAGATTCATCATCATTCTTCAGTTGTTCATAGTATTCCATTGTGTGTATGTACCAAAGTTTGTTTAACCATTCTTCTGTTGATGGGCATGTAGGCTGTCTCCATCTTTTTGTTGTATCTCTTGTAGATAGCATATTGAAGGATCCTGTTTTCTTATCCATTCTATTTTCTCTGTCTCCAGACTGGTGCAGTTGATCCATTTATATTCCGTGTAATTATTGATAGGTACAAATTGATTGCTGTCATTTTACTGTATGTTTTTTTGGTGGTGCTGCTGGTTTCTTTGTTCCATATAACTTTCTGCACTGAGTTCATTGTGTTTGTGAGTTTTCTTTGCATTTTTATTTCTGTTGTGTTAATGTTTACTAAACCTTTCTAATTTTCCTCTTTATTTTGATTGGCAGATCGTTCATTTTCTTTGAGGTTACCCTGTAATTTATTTTTTCCCTATTTAAAACATCTTGAAATCTACTTCACTTCTTTGCCATTAAAGTTATATTATGTACGCTCTTCCTTCTTTTTATTTTGTAGTTGGCTTCATTATAAATTGATATCTTTTGTTACCTGTTTCTCTGTCTCTTGTTCCCTATTTCCAGTCTTAAATACTATCTGGATTGAGTTCTAGGTGGTGTTGTCATGTATGTTGTTCCCTGCTATTGTTGATTCTCAATCCAAAGAGCACCATTATTACTCTTGTAAAGTTATTCTGTTTCTTACAAATTCCTTTAGTTTCTGCTTATCTGGAAGTGTTCTGATTTCACTGTTATGTTTGAGGAACAGCTTTGTTGCGTAAATGACCCTTTGTTGGCAACCTGTTTTCTTTCAAAGTTTTATATATGTCATCTCAATGCCTTCTGGCCTGCACCTTCCACCTTTTTTTTTTTTTTTTTTTAATGCTTTCTGCATCATTCAGTATTTTGCCCATAGAATTCTTCAATATTGCAAGTCGAGGTTTACAGTTTTTCTTTAGTTCTTTCAGTTCGAGAAGTACTGACTGTGTTCTTCCCTTTTGATTTTCTAACTCCAGGTCTTTGCACATTTCGTTGTAATACTTGACATTATCTTCTTGAGCTCCCCTTTGAAATTTTCTGTTCATTTCTTTTACTTCCTCATTTCTTCCATTTGCTTTAGCATCTCTATGCTAGAGAGCAAGTTTCAGAAGCTCTTCTGGCACCCATTTATGTCTTTTCTTTCTTTACTGTCTTTCTGATGACCTTTTACTTTCTTCCTATATGATGTTCCAGATGTCATCCCACAACTCTTCTAGTCTTTGGTCATTAGTATCTTATGCATCAAATCTGTTCTTGAGATGGTCTCTAAATTCAGGTGGAATATGTTCAAGGTCATATTTTGGCTCTTGTAAACTGTTTTAATTTTCTTAAGCTTCAGCCTGAACTTGCATATGAGCAATTAGTGATCTCTTACATGGTCTGCTCCTGGCCTTGTTTTGTGTGATGATATTGTACTTTTCTACTTTACTGTCTCTTCCCACAGATGAAGTCAATTTGATTCCTGTAATTTCATCTGGTGAGGTCCTTGTGTATAGTTATTTATGTTGTTTTAAAATGGTATTTGCAATGAAGAAGTCATTGGTCTTGCAAAATTCTATCATGCAATCTCCAGCATCGTTTCTATCACCAATGCCATATTTTCCAATAACTGATCCTTCCTCTTTGTTTCCAATCTTCACATTCCAATTACCAGTAATTATCATACATCTTGATAACATGTTTGATCAATTTCAGACTAAAGAAGCTAGTAGAATTCTTCAATTTAATCATCACTGGCTTTAGTGTTTGGTGCGAATATTTGAATAATAGTAGTATTAACTGGTCTTCCTAGTAGGCATATAAATTTTATCCTATCATAGGCATCAGTGTACTTCAAGATATATCTTAAAATGTTCTTTTATAACAATGAATGCAATGCCGTCCCTCTTGAATTTGTTGTTCCAGACATAGTAAACCGTATGATTGTCAGATTCCAAATGACCTATACCAGTCCATTTCAACTTACTAATGCCTAGGGTATTGATCTTAACGTGTTCCATTTCATTTTTGACAACTTCCAATTTTCCTGGTTTCATATTTTGTACATTCCATGTTCTGACTGTTAGCGGGTACTTGCAGCTGTTCCTGCTTATTTCGTATTTGCCTCATCAGCAAATGAAGGTCCTGAAAGCATTACTCCACTTGCGTCATCATGGTGAACTGTACTTTGTGGAGGCAGCTCTTCCCCATTTGTATTTTGAGTCCCTTCCAACCTGAGGGCTTCATCTTCTGACACTATATCCAATAATGTTCTGCTGCTAGTTATAGTGTTTTCATCCTCTGGTACTATAGCTGACAATGTTACATATTGTCCTAAGGTTTTCAGTGTTACATGTTATTCATAAGGGTTTCAGTGGCTAAACATTCATAAGTAGTCTGCCTTTCCTTTTTCCTTGTCTATATCTTCGTTTGAAAGTTGCAATGAAGCCTGTCCACCCTGGGGAGACCCTGATGGTATTTAAAATACAGTTGGCATAGCTTCCAGAATCACAGCAACACCACAGAATGACAGGCAGACAGACGAGTGGTGGAGTTTCAGTTTAATTCACTGTAAATAAGTATGCTTTAATACTTTGTCCCTCAAACAAATATTTAATTAATCATTTGAATTCTTCCTTTAATATTTTGCCCATGTCCATATGTGATTTGCCTAGCTCTTTACTGTACTCCACATGAGTAACCATGATCCTGTGTTCTAAATGACTTTAATTTAAGAAATCGGGGTGTTGAGACCTCAACTAAAAGATGGATAAGAAAAAGATAGTAGGGGGTTTAAGCTGAGGGTGAAAGAGAAATGCCAGAAATAAAAAAGGGAAGGAAGAGAAATGAATTAGGAGAAATTAGATGTGAGTATCTGCAGGAGTAAAGACTGTTGAGATCTGAGCTTAAAAAGCCCAGGAGATGAGAACTTGAGGAGGCCATTCTACTACAGGCTGACCAAGAGACAGAATCCAGAAAGGTGCTCTATCTTGGGAGCTAGGAAACCTTGAGCAAGAGAGAACTTTATTTAGCCTATCAGAGGTAAAGCTGGAAAGAGAAGACTTTCTAGAGGGACCCAGTAGTGAAGGCTCTAGACAAAAACTGGGCAGAAATTGGGGAGCTCAGGAAATCTGTACCCTGCGCCCGATAGTGAGAATGTATTATACCTCCCAATTTGCCAGGCTTTCTGTGATGTTGCACTAGAGTAATACAAAGAAATCAAAGCATACTCCTGCCTTTTTGAGGAGGAAGAGGTCAGCATCGGCTGTACTTACAGTCACCCTAATGCTCAGCTATTTTTCCGTCTCCAAGAGTCCTAGGCGCTGCAGGCTAATGCGTCAGACTGCAAAGTCATTTGAACTGCAAGGTCGGTGGTTCAAGCTCACCAGCCGCTCCTTGGAAACCCTATACAGGGTTACTATGTGTCAGAATTGACTCCACGGCACTTAACAACAACAACAGCAACAAAGAGGCTTAAGTGCAGTCGTGGCGGTATTAGCAGAACTTAGCCCACTGCCAATCAGAGAGGGACAAGTATTCTGGGGCTTAGAAGGGGAGAAAAGGGATCAGAGGGGGCAGTCACTCAGTCAAGTGATATAGTAGATTTTTAAATACTTTTCGTGAAAAAATGTTGCTTATTGCTTCGAGTTCATGCTTTTTAAAACTGCATGATATGGCTGTGCCTGAGACTTCTCTGTGTAGCCCCTCAGTGCCAGCATTCTTTCAGACATCCTGCGTGGTTTCTTTCTTAGTAAGAGTTTTCATATACTCAGGACTAGCCATTGTTTACAGGTAAGGACAGGGTACTTGAAAGAGAAGGTTCTCAGACCTTCATATGTGTATTAAAAGAGACCTGGCCCTTTATCACAAATGGTGACTGTAGAACTTTAAATGAAGGGAGAGATCAAGAGTTGGACCTGTACTATACCAAAAGCTGTGGTGGGTTGCCACCTGCCCTGTAAGGCTGTTACCAGAACACCATCTTGACGGAGCCTTTCTCCTCTTGGGCTCTTCTCCATCTGAAAATTATATGCTGAGAGGCATATCCCTGACTTCCAGGGAGGTGACAGTAGGTTCCCTTTCTTTCCCTCTCTCTCCAGGTGCCAAGCTCTCCTGATGAAATGTGTTTTGCCCCACTGGGTTCCGGGGGCAGTGTCTGGTGCTGTTGATGCCCTTGTTCGAACTTTCCAGAATGGATAGTCCCCCAAAGCTGACTGGAGAGACCCTCATCGTCCACCACATCCCCCTGGTGCACTGTCAGGTCCCAGACAGGCAGTGCTGTGTTGGAGCAAGTGGAGGTGGTGGGAGCACAAGACCCAATCCCTTCTGTCCACCTGAGCTGGGCATCACTCAGCCTGATCAAGACCTAGGACAAGCTGACTCCCTGCTTTACAACAGTCTGCACTCTGTCTCAGGGGGCTTGGCACGGGCTGCAGACAACACCAAGAGTAGGGGTCGGGATGGACGAGGCCCTGGGGCCCCTAAGCGACACAATCCCTTCCTGCTGCAGGAGGGTATGGGTGATCCAGGACTTGGCGACCTCTATGATGACAGCATTGGTGCCAGCACCACCCAGCAATCCTTCCACCTTCATGGAGCTGGCCAGCCCACCTTCCATCTATCCTCTTTCCAGCTCCCACCATCTGGCCCTGGAGTGGGCAGGCCCTGGGGGGCCACACGGAGTCGAGCTGGAGTGGTGGAGGGACAGGAACAGGAGCCAGTGACAACCTTAGATGCCCAGCGCTGTAACATTCGCCACTGCTGCAGGCCAGAGCTGGAAGCAGAGACCATGGAGCTGGATGAGAGTGGGGGAGCTGGCGGGAGTGGCAGTGGGGGCGGAGCCAGTGATACCTCTGGCTTTTCCTTTGACCAGGAATGGAAGCTCAGTTCAGAAGACTCCCCAAGGAACCCTGGCTGCTCAGGCTCAGGCCCCCAGCACTGCCGCTGCAGTAGCACATCCAGCCAGTCTGAGGCAGCTGACCAGTCCATGGGCTATGTGAGTGACTCCTCCTGCACCAGTTCAGACGGGGTGCTGGTCACCTTCAGCACCCTCTACAACAAAATGCATGGCAACTCCCGTGCCAATCTCAACTCTGCCCCACAGTCCTGTAGCGACTCCTCCTTCTGTAGTCACTCAGACCCTGGCGCCTTCTACCTGGACCTCCAGCCCTCTCCAGCCGAGTCTAAGATGTCTTGTGAGTCCCACCACCCTGATAGTGGAGAAAGGGAAGGGAGCTACGGTTGTCCTCATGCCTCATCTCCTGAGCTTGATGCCAACTGCAACTCCTACCGGCCACACTGTGAACCGTGCCCAGCAGTGGCTGACCTCACAGCCTGCTTTCAGAGCCAGGCCCGTCTTGTTGTGGCCACACAGAATTACTATAAACTTGTCACCTGTGACCTATCCTCCCAATCATCTCCAAGCCCAGCTGGCTCTTCTATCACCAGCTGTTCAGAAGAACACACGAAGATAAGTCCCACACCAGGTCCTGGATCAGACCCAGACCCCAGCCAGCCCTCTGAGTATTACCTATTTCAGAAGCCAGAAATTCTGCCAGAAGAGCAAAAAGCAGTGGGTTCTTCAGCAGAAGCAGTAGCTGCCATGGGTCGCACTTTGATGGAAGGACAAGTGTACACTAACACTTCACCTCCCAATCTTAGCACTGGACGCCAGCGCTCTCGCAGTTATGACCGCAGCCTTGAGCGCAGCCCTCCTGTCCGCCTGAGCTCACTAGAACGCATGTTGAGTTGCCCGGTGCGACTGAGTGAGGGCCCTGCAGCCCTTGCTGGGCCTAGCTCTCCACCCAAGCGGGTGACCTCCTTTGCTGAACTGGCCAAGGGCCGGAAAAAAGCTGCAGGCTCAGGGTCTCCCCCACTTCGGGTGAGCATTGGAGACTCCTCCCAGGAGTTCTCAGCCATCCAAGAAGCCCAACAAGATAGAGTGGGCCCACCAGATGAGGGTACTTGCTGTAGCCATAGCCTCCCACCCATGCCCTTGGGGCCAACCATAGACCTAGCTGGCCTAGAGCCTTGGTCCACCCAAGTTTGCCAGGGTCCACAGTCCAGCGAGATGCCACCTGCTGGCTTGAGAGCTGCTGGGCAAAGCCATGTCACTCAGCTGTTGGATCCAGAGCCTGTTCATCCTGGGAGCCCAGCCAACAGCCACACCCAGAGGGATGCAAGAGCTAGAGCTGACGGTAAGGAACCGAGGGGATGCTGGACCTTTGCATGGCCTCCTCAGTGATAGGTCTTTACCAACCAGCCCGTCCAGACCACTAGCAGTTCTTCAGTCCTCCTTCCAGTCCACGTTGTGTTTTACAGTTAAAATGGTGGGAAGAGGGTAGAGAGGAAATCATCAAAACATACAGATTGGTGTATTGGGAAAGGTAGCACTCAGAAACCTGGGAAGATGATGGTATCATAGATAGGAACTGTAAACACAGAAGTAGTTCTACTGGAAGGGAGACAAGGCTTGAGTTTAGTTTGGGACCTTTAGGAATTTGCAGTGCTTCAGGGACAGTCAAGGAGTATATCCAACAGGCAGACTACACTGTGAGCCTGTGAAGTTCCTTCTTTGATCAATGATTGTAGCTACTCTCCAGAGAACCTGAGACTTGACACTTGGCCCTTAAGTTCCAAGAATCCTCTGTAGGCCAACTCTTTCTCCATTTGATTAATTTATAAGCAATTGTAAGTATGTTTCACACCAGACCCTATGTTTAAGTGGGTACTGGTGATAGAGAAGCAAGAAACAGTCTCTGCCCTCAAGGAATTCAGACTAAAGACAAACAGAAAGGAAACAGATATAGAGATCGTGGCGTATGGCACTTTGGTAGGAATATCTAAGTCAAACTGAATGTCATGGAAAGACTGCTAGCACAGCTTAGGACAGCCTAGAAAGAGGATTAGAAATAGGCTTCGGAGGCTTGGGAGAATAGTGTTCTAGACTCAGAATAGTCTGTACAAAATCACTGAAGCACAGAATGGCTTGATGCCATCCAGGACCTGTAAATAATTTGGCGTAGCCATAGTGAGATGTGGATGGAACCATTTAAAGACTTTAATCAGGGAAGTGGCATTTTGTTTGTCTGTAACAGCATAATGGCATGATTTGATTTGCATTTTATACAGCTCACTTTTGTTTGTGGTAAATAGATTAGAAGGGGTATCTCCCTGGCGGTCAGGAGCCCTAGATCTGAGAATTATTTCAATAACAGTGTTAGTTGAAGCCCTGTGAGTGGATGAAAACATCCAAGAGGGAATGTATAGAGTTATAAAAGGACCAAGGATAGAGCCTTGGGGATATTGTCACTTAGGGGTGAGCAGAGTGACCCTCAACAAAGACCGAAAAGAATTAGCCAGAAAAATACAAGGGAAGACAGGAGACAGTGAAATCACCGAACTAAAGAGTTAGGTTCATCCAAAAGGATTCTGAAGACTGGGGAGTCTTGAAAGCAGTGAAGGCAGAAGCAGGGACACAAATGACCCCCTACCTACTTTAGGTTTAGTCTGTTGGGCCCTCAAAAGAAAGGATGCCATCAGTGACATCATCCCTGCTTTAGGGACTCAGGCCATCAGAAGATGTCACACTCCTAAACGTACAGAGAGGAGAAAAGAGGTGGGTCTGAAATAGCAGGGATTGTCCAGAGCCCCACGGCCTCAGACTGCAGTGCCTGGTGGGTACATCTAGGCACAGAGATTCAATGGCTGTTGTTCTGAGGACATGAACAACCCTATAGTGATAAGAGAAGCCTTAAAGGTTTTTTTTCTATCAGGTAAGACTTCTCATACTGAGATGATGCAAAGTTTTCTAAGTTTCCAGTGACCTACAGGGATCTTGATTCTGTACAGTATTATTGGGTTTTTTTCTAATCTAATCAAAATTGAATGGAGAAAGAAGACACTTAGGTTCATCTAATCTGGGAATAACAGTAAGAAGCTGAGAAAGTTCTTTGAAATCCTAGGTAGCAGGATAAAGATTTAAAACAGTTTTACCAAATCTGGAAAGGGCCAAACGAATAGAGCTACTGACCAGTGTCAAGTTTGAACACACAAACTGCATTTGAGTTGATCTGGAATGTTTACTTGATTGCAAACTCAGAATGATTCAGCAGTCTGGAAGGGCTTCCAAAAAGTAACTGGGTTCATTCATAGAATCCAGAAAGGAGAAAGTGATAGTACCCCACTCCTCTGAACCAGTTAGTGCTCACAGTGCGCCCCCCACCCCCGACACTCCATTTTAAAAAGGAACTGGGGGAGTGGGGGGCTAGAGCAGAAAATACTCAGGTGACTGTGATCTGTCTGTGGCGTTCTTAAGGGCTGTTACATAGAAAAATGAAAACCTGTAATCTCTACATAGTCCCTGAGGGCAGAGCTAAAATTCATTTCCCATCATGTCTTTCCCTCTCGCCTGATCTTAGTCTATGTTTCAAGCACGATTCTGGGTATTTCACAGGAAGAATTTTAAGAAGAGTGGGAAAGATGGTTGAATTCAGACATTTTATATATTGTTATTGTTAAGTGCTGTGGAGTCGGCTCCAACCCATAGTGACCCTGAATAGGGTTTCCAAGGCTTTAAATTTTGCCGGAGCAGAAAGCCTCATCTTATCCCGCATACTTTATATAAGGTGAATAATAAAACTGTGCTTGGGAGAACCTAATCTAATAGCCAGGGTCATCTCAGCCTTGTGAAGTGACTGGTACTTAGGACAGGAAGAAGGCATTCCGATAGTAAAAGCAGTGTGCTAAAAGATTGAAGGAGAAGAGGGGAGAGCCACCTAATTTGTATCAGGTATGGGCATCTCCCTGCCTGAGAAGGTTAGACTTTATTCTGAGGACAGGAAGGCTTGTTGTTTTTAAGTGCTGTCAAGTTGGTTCTGGCCCATAGCGACCCTGTATAGAGTTTCCGAGGAGTAGCTGGTGAGCTTGAACCGCCAACCTTGCAGTTTTCAAACAGCTTTTCAGTCTGGTGCATTAACCCACAGCATCACACCAGGACAAGGGGTCAAATCAAACTGGCACTGTTGGAAGCTAGCTGATTCTGGAGGCAGTGAGACTAGCCTGAACCAGAGGTGACTGAACAGAAACAAGTACTTTTACCAAGTACCTACTGTGTACCAGTCTCTGTTCTAACCGCTGGGGATACAGTGTCTTTCTGGAACTCTTGTGAGAAGAAATCCACAATAAACTCATAAGAAAGATAATTTATTCTGGGTTTTTTTTTAAAGAATCTAGAAAGAAATTAAATATGGATAAAGGGATAGAGGAAGTCCTGTGCATTAATGCACTGGACTGCAAACTCAGTTTGAACTGCAAGGTCGGCAGTTCAAGCTCACCAATCGCTCCTTGGAAACCCTATACAGGGCTGCTATGGGTCAGAACCAACTTGACAGCACTTAACAACCAAGGGATAGAGAGTGATTTGCCAGAGCCAGAATGGACACCATTTTGGACAGGGTAATCAGAGAAGGTATTTTTGAGGTGACATTTGAGCTGAGAGCTGAGTGTTTAAGGCCAGAAGGAAGTATGATTGGAGCATAGTGAGTGAGGGAGTATGACAAGAAAAGATACATATTGCTGTCTGTGACTGACTAGGAATGGCAGGATGATGTCATTTGAAAATGTCCCATGAAAGTGATTCCATTCCGAAACACCTGTCTAATGGAGTTGTGGTCTCCCCTGTTAATACTCACTGATGTACACAGAAAAAAAGAGGAAAGATAGGGAAACCTGGTTTGATACCATTTCATGCATGGCAGTGGTGGTGTGCCATCAAGTTGGTGCCAACTCATAGCGACCCGGTATAGGGTTTCCGAGGCTGTAAACCTTTACAGGAGCAGTACGCTTCATCTTTCTCCTGCAAAGCAGCTGGCAGATTAGAACTGCTGACCTTGCAGTTAACAGCCCAACTAGTAACCCACTATGCCACCAGAGCGCCTTATTGGTTTTGAAGTCAAATGCAGTTAGACAAGATTCAGGCTTTGCCACTTCTGGGTTGTGTGACCTTGAACAAATTACTTAATCTCTAAATAAAAAATTGCCTGGTGGGTCAAGTAAGGATTCTTGATTCTTGCCCTTGCCTCACAAGTTGTTGAGCCACACCCATGGTTTGGGGCCATGTGAATGCGTATAGCGCCACCTCGTGTTCATTTGGATCATCACAGAATGTGTAGTGTTTCAGTAGACGTGTACAAGGCAGTCCCCACTGTGCAGTGTCCTGGAAGGATTGTAAACTGAAGATTAGCTGAGAGAACAGTTGAGGGCCAGTCTTGGGGAACCCACCTCTGTGCACAGGGTATAGATGTGGACTCAGGTTCAAGGGTTTCGTGAAAGGGTTGGGAAGGTCTGGGGTCGGGGTAATAGAAAAGTTGATGCTGGCTTCAAGTAAATAGCTTACTCTGATTATATTTGCTAAAGAATTAAAACGTTCTAGTTGAGTAGAGGCAAAGGATGATGAGCAAAAGTTCTTGACGTTGACAATCTGTGATACTGACTCCAAGTCTTCAGATCTTAGAAACAAAGAAATGGCGGTTCTGCCATTGACTGAAATGGAAGTTATCAGGAAAAATGAGAAAGACAGTGGATGCACTGTTTAAAATAGTACATTTAAGTGAAAGCAGAATGATCTAGAGATCAAGAGGAAGGTCATTGAGATGTGGGGTTGGAAATCTGAACTTCAGCTGCCCAAGGGAGGAAGTGTAAAGCCAGCGATAAGAATTGACCCTTAAGATACACTCACCTTGTAAAAGGAGGAAGAGCAGGGTTACCCCTGGCCCGTTCCTTCCACCAGATCCTGCCCCGCTCTCCTGTCTCCAGTGGACATGTCCTGTCTGCCTCTTTTTATTTCCATGGTTTCAGTGTCTATCTGACTGATTTCTTCTCCATGCCTGTTACCACAGGGGGTGGTGCTGAGAGCCGACCAGTCCTTCGCTACAGCAAGGAGCAGAGACCCACCACGCTGCCCATCCAGCCTTTCGTGTTCCAGCACCATTTCCCCAAGCAGCTGGCCAAGGCCCGGGCCCTCCACAGCCTTTCCCAGCTCTATAGCCTCTCAGCCTGCAGCCGTGCACAGCAACCTGCCCCACTGGCTGCCGCCACTGTTCAAGTCTCAGCCCCAGCTTCCTCAGGGGAGCCCCTGGCATCTACTTCCAAAACCACTGACAGAGGTGCCAGGAAAGCTGGACCTGAGCCCGAGACCTCCCGGCCATCACCCCTGGGCAGCTACTCTCCCATTCGGAGTGCTGGCGCCTTTGGGCCCAGCACTGATTCTTCTGCCTCCACTTCATGCTCCCCACCCCCAGAGCACGCCCCAGCCCCAGCGCCAGAAAGTTCAGCCCTATGGAGCCACTCTGGTCCTCCTGCTGCCCGACTTGCTACCTCCCAGCAGCCACAGAAGGAGGAGCAGAAGATACTGACCTTGGCTGAGTACCGACTCCATGGAACAGGAAGCTTGCCACCTCTGAACTCCTGGAGATCTGGTCTCAGCCGAGCAGAGAGCCTGCTCCGAGGAGGTGGTGAGGGTAGCATGGCTTCCAGACCCAGTAATGGTATGAGTTTCATTCCTTACCTCTTCCCTTAAGTACTTCTACCTCTCCTTTGGTTTCTTATACTCTTATAGCCTGGGGTTAGAGGTCAAAATGTTTGCATTTCTTCCCCCAGCAGCTGTGGATAATACCCCACACCCCCAACTCTGGTGTTTTATATGGACCCATTGGATGGATGTGATATGCTAGTTTTCTGCTAATTCTTGCTTGTCTGTCTCTTCTGCTAATCTGTCCTGCTTCTAGCCAACCACCTGTCCCCTCAAGCACTCAAATGGCGAGAATACAGGAGGAAGAACCCACTGGGGCCACCTGGTTTGTCAGGAAGCCTAGACCGAAGGCCACAAGAGGCTCAAATGAGCCGAAGAAACCCCATCTTTGAGTTCCCAGGTTCCCTGAGTGCTGCTGGCCATCTGAACTGCCTGCTGAATGGTGTGTGGGCTAGGTCCCCAGTACACTCAGGGCAGGCTGGGAAGGGTTAGAGAAGGGGTCAGTCCTGAAGGCACATGGCTCAGAGGGTGTGAAACACAGACTGACTGGAACTTAAGAAAAGAGATTGAGTTTGTTCTTTTCCAGGTCAAGTAATGAAGCCACTACCACTGACCTGCCCTGACTTCCAAGACCCCTTTTCCTTGACTGAGAAACCTCCAGCTGAGTTTTGTTTGTCCCCAGATGGTAACTCAGAGGCCATTTCCATCGACCTGCTTCAGAAAAAAGGTGATTGTAGTCCCCAGCTCAGGCCAAGGATTCTGCTGTCACTGCCTCTTCATACCTGTAAGCCTTTCAAGGTGGTGGGAAGGAGCCGGAGAACTTGGACATTGAGGCAGAAGGTCGAAGTTTTTGTTCTGAGTACTGTATACATATCAGATGCTTAAGAATCAGCCCCTAATCCCTTCTCCTTTGCTCTCTCAATGAGCTAACTTTAGTGAGGGAGACTGCCATGAACACAATAAATGCCTAAGTGCTCCATAAAGGATCTATTGACTTGGGTAACTGATAATGACAATGACGTCTAAAACAATGAGGACTGACAAGGAGCCACTGTATTTAACAAATAGGTTAAGAGAGTGATTTCCTTGAGATGATGGCAAAAGAATTGAGCATAATTATGGCTGAAGAGAAGTTGCCTGTGAAAAGCTGAGGCTGACGTTCTTTGCAGAGGGAAAGTGGGAGATGTAAAGCTTAGAGAGAGGGAAGAACTTTGGACAAGAAAGGAACCTTCCTCAAGATGAGAAGAAAGTGAGAGGAGACATGAGGGAGGGAGGGAAGGAAGTGGGTATAATGTAGGTATGTTTTAGAACCAAGTGACCTACATTGGGCACTTGGAGCAAGGAAGTTGAAGGAATTCATGACTGGTGGCCTCTGCTCTCTGTGTGGAGGAGGAGGGAAGATGGCCTGTGGGGAAGGAGGAGGGAAGTGGTAGAACCCAGGGCTTGAGAGAAGTAAAGGCTTAGCAGGACAGCCAAAGGTATGGGAGAGGAAGCTGACAAGGCACATTCCAAAGACTCGCCCTTGTCTGCACTGGTGTGAGTGAGCCTGGATTTTCTCCAACACAGTTTCCCACAGTGTTGATCCAGAATTGGAATAAGAGAGTAAGGAAATGAAACAATTGGGGGTCTTGATAAATGTTTCATTGAGGTGGGTCCATGCTAGGAGATGAAAACAAAGGATCAGAGCCTGGATGTCTTGCTGAGACCTAGTGCAGGTACAGAGAGTTAAGAATAAGAAGTATAAAAGTTCTTCCCCTTCCTCACTGAGGCTTCAGCCCCAGCTGAGTTGGCTAAGGATCTGCTTGGGGAGCAGACACAGGAAATTCTTGCTTACAGGACTGGTGAAAGCTGTTAATACCGCTGTGGACCTCATTGTTGCCCATTTTGGGACAAGCCGGGATCCTGGGGTGAAGGTAGGCAAAAATGGGGAGAGCTGCCCTACCTTGCAGATCCTCACCATCTTCCTTTGCTCTCTTGCTTGTGGAGCCCAGAGTGGGACACTTAGTAATGGGGATGGCAAGAGGGGATTTATGAGGGCTAACAGAGTTAGAGGACCAGGATCAAACTTCAAATGATTTCCTGCACTTCCCTATCTGCATCCACAGGCAAAGCTGGGGAACAGTTCTGTGAGCCCCAATGTAGGCCACTTGGTTCTGAAATATTTGTGCCCTGCGGTCCGGGCTATACTGGAGGATGGCCTCAAGGCCTTTGTGCTAGATGTCATCATTGGGCAGCGTAAAAACATGCCATGGAGTGTGGTTGAGGCTTCCACACAGCTAGGTAAGTGCTGGAAGGCAAGATGGGGAGGCTGGGCTGACTTATAGGGTTCCAGAGCTTGGTCGTGTGACCTCCAACCCTGGCTTCCCCTCAGGCCCATCCACTAAGGTCCTACATGGCCTCTGCAACAAAGTCAGCCAATTCCCCGAGCTCACCAGCCACACCATGCGATTCAATGCCTTCATCCTCGGCCTGCTCAAGTGAGTATATGAAGCAAGACACTAACCCTGCACCCTTGCCTCTACCATCTGAGAAACCAGCTCCCTAGACTGAGGCAGCAATGGTTAAACTGGAGGCTCTGTGGCCAGGACTCAAGGTCCACTTTCTCCCCACCTAGCCACATTCAATAATCACTGGTTTTCCACTGCCCCACAACCCTTTGGCATTGATCACCAACACGATCTGCTTTTACAAACCTATAATCTGTTTTATTTGGAAATGAATATGGTTTCTCTGGATTTTGTAAACCTTGATCATCCACTCCTACACTACTTCCAAATCCACCTTGGGCTCTCCATTATAGTACAGGTATGTGTTGCTTCTGTGAAATAGGATGTTATATGATTGGGATGTTGTGCAAACACCATATGAAAAACTTACATGAGTCCACTTCTGATTATCCTTGCTGCCACTGCCTCTGTTTCTGGAGTTGCTGGCAGAGGCAGGAGGAATGGGCACTGCCAGCAGTGGTGGCTGAGAGGGCAGCCAGATGAAGTGAGGAGGGAGCAAACAGCTCCCAGCCATGGTTCTAGCTGCCTGGGCAGCAGAAGAGCCTGCCTGGAGCCATTGCCTCTGCCTCATTTCCTGTGTCCCACCTGTGATCTTGTGCTGCAAGGCTGGGTTGGGGGTCTTGAAAATCATTAGGGAAATAATAAACAAAAAGAGATCTGCTTTTCCTTTCAAAAAAAAACAAACTTGTGGTTCCATGGACATATATGTGTTCAGACATTGGCCAAACAGATGTTAAGTGACGCATACCTGTAATTTTCTTACTCAAATATGGGCCAGGTCATCCTCTCTGGCTCTGAGCTTCCCTGACTTCTCAAGTCTTGTGCAATCCAGCTCCATTCCAGGAAGAAGTGCTTGGTCTGTAAATCACATGTCCACCACCTCCCCACCCCCATATCCCTATTGACTTTCTAGAGTTATCTTATATGAAATGAGATGGTAGCGTCTGTGCCACAGAAGGGGCGTTCATCTGTACCTCTGCCCTGTGTCTGAGCCCTGCCTGTGTCTTCTTTATCTGGCTATTTCTGTGCTACACAAGACTCAATTCTTCTCACCTGTCTCCTTACAGCATCCGGTCTCTGGAGTTCTGGTTTAATCACCTCTATACCCATGAAGGTAATACCCAGGACCCTGCCCTATTTTACAAGCTCTGTATAGGTCAAACCTTGGAGGTTCAAAAGAGAGGAGGGTATAACATGGTTTTCAGATGCTAAAAGTGGGGAGGGGAGCCACACGAGATTTGTCTTCAAAGCTTTAGACTTCTACCCAAATCCTTCCCCAGCTCCTACTTGAGTTAGAATCTTGGAGTCAACCTGGCAGTCAGTTCCTTTGAACTCAGGGATGCCACTTACAGCTGTGCAGTGTGTGCACTGCACAACTGGAAAACACAGCATTTAGACTCCAGTGCACAGCCTCTGCCCGGGAGGCTGCTCACTTTCGCACACCCACGCAGGACAGCTGCTCCGTGTGGATCAGTCACTGTGTTTCTCCCATAGATATCATCCAGACCCACTACCAGCCGTGGGGCTTCCTTAGTGCCGCTCACAGCGTGTGCCCCGGCCTTTTCGAGGAGCTGCTGCTGCTCCTACAGCCCTTGGCCCTGCTGCCCTTCAGCCTCGACTTGCTGTTCCAGCACCGGCTGCTACAAAGTGGACAGCAGCAGCGTCAGCACAAGGAACTACTGCGGGTGTCCCAGGACCTGCTGCTGTCTGCCCATTCAACACTACAGTTGGCCCGGGCCCGGAGCCAGGAGGACCCTGGAGATACGGACAGAACAGCCCATGGAGAGCGAGTAAAGGGCGTAGGTGCCCCAGAAGGTGGAGAAGAGGAGGAAGAGACAGACGAGGTGGCAGAGGCAGCTGGGGGCACAGGACATGGCAGGTCAGCTCGAGGCGGGCAGGCTGGCTGGTGGTATCAACTCATGCAGAGTTCCCAGGTCTACATTGATGGTTCCATCGAAGGTTCTAGGTTCCCTCGCGGTGGCAGCAACAGCAGCAGTGGCAGCAGCAGTGAGAAAAAGAAAGGGGCAGGAGGTGGGGGGCCTCCCCAGGCACCCCCGCCCAGAGAGGGAGTTGTAGAGGGAGCTGAGGCCTGCCCGGCCCCCGAGGAAGCCCTCAGCCGGGACAGGGGCTGGCCCTTCTGGATGGGGAGTCCCCCTGACTCTGTGCTGGCTGAGCTGAGACGCAGTCGGGAGAGGGAGGGGCCCACTGCCCCCCCAGCAGAAAATGAGAAAAGGACCTCAGAGCCTTCACCTGGGGGCATCAAGTGGGGACATCTCTTTGGTTCCCGAAAAGCTCAGCGAGAAGCCCGACCCACAAACAGGTGAGAGCTGGCCCTCGGTGTAGGTGGAGGGGAGTGGAAGAACCCAGGCCAGGCATGGACAGAACTAGAGGCCTGGCTGCTTTCCCCTAGGCTGCCCTCAGACTGGCTGAGCCTGGACAGGTCCATGTTCCAACTAATGACGCAGACAGTGAGTGCCCGCAGGGAGCCAGAGCCCAAGGAGAACATGCAGGAATCACACTCTCCAGCCCTGCTCTCCAAGCCTCTATGGTGAGCCCTGGACTATGGTAGCACTGGGTGGCTGGGTTTGGCTTTAGATGGAGTTTCTCTGACTGCCGTTTGTTCTTTGCCCAGCGAGGTGCAGGCACTGTGCCACCATCTGGCCACAGGCCCTGGACAGCTAAGCTTCCGTAAAGGGGACATCCTACGTGTACTGGGGCCAGCAGGAGGAGACTGGTTGCAATGTAGCCGTGGCCCCGACACTGGCCTGGTGCCTGTGGCTTACGTGACCTTGACCCCAACTTCAAGTCCAACCCCTGGAAACAGCCCAAACTGAGGCCCTGTGCATGCTGGTGGCCTCAGGGACCCTCATAACCCCCAGATTCAGAACCTGAGAGCCCTCCCCCAAGCCCACCTGGCTTGGCTACAGAGAGTAGACCAAGAGCAAGGGACCACATAGCCCTCTGCTGGCACCTACTCCCTGTGCTCAGTATTAATTTCTCCCCCTTAACTGTCCCAGTGACCTCGTCCAGACCAGGGAAGGGACGCAGCACTGGGCTGCCAGGATTTCCCCAGATTCTCTGGGCCAACCTTTTCCATGGGTGCTGACAAGTTCCTGTGGAGCAAGGTGACCCAGAAGGCCTGGCTCAGTTACAGGGTTCCTTAGGCCAGATGGTGATGAAGACAGATGACAGTATTGGGGCCAGATCCCTAAGCCCCCAGCTGTAAATAGGCTGTGGCCAGTGCCCTTATCAGAAAAGGGAGGAGGAGCCCAAGCTTCTGTTCATGTATTTATTTATTTATTACACCTATTAATAAAAAAGGTGCTCAGCCTCCAAACCAGTTTCTATTTGTGTCCCCCTCCTTTCTTCCTTCAAAAATGGTGGTTGGGATAGGATGCAATGGAAAGGGAAAGTTGCAGTCTGGGTATCTATGGCAGGGGCTGCTTCTGGAGGGTTCTGAGGCCCAGTGCATCATGGGTGAGATGTTCATCTGTGAATCTGTCATGTGTAGCTGTGGTATAGAAAGGCCATTTATTTCTCAGCCAGCTGCCTAAGCCCTCTAAAATCTGGCCCGAACTCCCTACCTTAAGCCACCTCATTTCCTTTCTGCTTAATAATGAACCACATATATTATGTCCCAGACCACTCCCACACACCACCCACACACAAGCATCCAGTCCCCAAAGCCCCATCTCTCTGGAGGTGTTCTCACCTGGCACATAGCCCCCAGAGTTAGGTAAAAGATATGGTTCTAGGGATAGGTCCTGGGAAGTGGGGGGAGATGTTTGACATCCTTCTGACCTCTGCCTCTTGAGTACTTCTGTCCAAATTCCTGAAGTGCCTGGTTGGTGAGCACAGGAAAGCTGGAGCCGAAGAGGAAGCGGGCCCGGGGCACATAACCAGTGAAGCCTGGGGGCGTGGGGATGCTGAGTAAAGACATCCTGAGGGGCTTTCCCTAGCCTTTTGAGCTTTACTAGTCTGCCCTCACCTGACATGAAGAACTTCCGAGGGTCTCTGTCATCCATGGAATAGGGAGAAGCCTTGTGAGGGGAAATGGGTAGAAGTAAAACAGGGCTATGGAACACAAGCTCTCAGGAAGGGGTAGCTGGTAGTCAAGGCACATCTGCACTGTCCACTCTGCTGCTCATGGCCACCCCCAGGCCTGGACATAAAAGGTAAGGCTCCCTACCCCTACACACCCTCACCCCACCCCCAACCCCTCCCCAGCCTTCTTGGTCTCACTTGTCCTGCCTCCTGCTCCAGCTCTAGCTCTGGATTTTGCTCTTGGTCTTTCTCCGTGTCTTTTCCCCGCTTGGCCTCCTTTGGCAGTTCTTGACTCTGTTGCCCCCCATGCCAATGAGTAAGATCATTCAGAGCCTCAGACCAGACCTGGCTGCAGTTCTTGGCAAAGATGAACTGTGCCCGAGGTACAAAACCTGGGCAGGCAGGGGGCATGGAAGATTTGTATTAGTATCTAGACTCCTGTTCTGGAGTAGGGGTACCTGGCTCATGCCTGTGGACATACCTGTGTATCCGGGGATCATGCTGGAGCTGAGCCTTTTATGCCCAGGCCTGAGACGGAGGCTCTCCCTGAGAACCTCAGGAGACCTTGGAGGCCGAATAGGAGGCAGAAGTGTACGGTGGACTGGAGGCCAGGCTAGGCCAGGAGGACCTCGAAGTAGCTGACCAGTCATCTGCCCATAGGTCTGACCCATGCTGAACCGAAGTCGTGGGCAGTGTCCAGTGTACCTGTAGTACAATACTTACCCACTGACCCCCAGAATCCCCCTTGCTCCACCATCCCCAGAAATAGAAGCATAGACTTCTAAAGCCCTGATCTTTCCTGGTCTCAGATGTGTATTTGGAGCAGGCATTTTCTAAGTTCTCTGCCTGGGCCTTCAATCAGTCCTTTCTGTTCTCCTGTTGCCATGGAGGAAACAACACAAAGCTTTTGACAGACTCAGGTATCACTGTTCCCTTGCTATTTTTCATCTAGCCCCATAAATACCCCGGCCCTGGTCCTCCCAAACCAGTATATTCACTTGACCCCAACGTTTAGGCAGTACAACTCCTCCATCCTTATCTCCTTAATGTCCCCAAATGCTCTTACCCTGGAATATAATGAGGCTTCTGAGAGTTCAGCCCTGGTATGAAGGTGCTGGCCATAACCCTGGAGGCCCAGACAGCTCTTTGTTTTCCTTTGAGCTGAGGCTCTGGGCTGTGTGTACCGTGTCCAGGGCTGTAGGGCAGAGCCAGAGGAAGGAGGCGGGGTTAAAGGAGGAGATAGGGGAGGGGGCAATGGTAACCCACAGAACTGGAAAGTAGAGGCTGGCTAGTCTAGCTCCCTCAGAACAAATAGAGAGTCCAAAAGGCTGAAAAGTACAGCCTCCCCACTCCACTAAGAAGTCCTAAGGTATGAGGTAGGAGAGCAAAAACTGTTCGGTCCATTCAGCTCTGTCACAAAAGACTTCCTTCTTAAGGCCCTGCCTGAACATCACGTATGGAGATGTGAAGTCTGTTCTTTGTGAGTCTTGGTGGAGGAGGATGGAGTTGTTGGGAAGAGGTTCTCTTGAGAGGGCTGGCCAGAGCCCAGAAGGGTAAGAGTAATAAGGAAAAAAGGAACCCAGAGACTTCTAACAGTGACAAGTTTATTTTCAATAATATAACAATTATTTATTGAATACCTACAATAATCTGAATCATCCAGGTAACAAACACACCGAGCCCTGCTAGGGTCCTTCTCTAGGGGGACAGAAGGCGGATGCTGTAGGAGTCAGAAAAGCTAAGTGCCACGTAATTTGGGCAAGTCATTTAATATCCCTGAGCCCCACTGCCTTATTTATCAAATGCAGATACTATTCCTGACCCTATTACTATTATACACACTCACTGGGTCTGTGTGAACTGTGTCCAGGCTCCAGGGCAGAGCCAGAGGCAGGAGGCAGCACTAGTGTGATGACTGTCAGTAGAGAGATGAATTATGCAAATGTGGTTTGTAAAGACATGAAGTCACAATGATAGTATAAGGAAAGCGCAGGCGTGAGGTCGGTCATAGGCTCATAGTAGCTTGTTGCATTGAGCTAACTTTAACCTTATTGTTAAGACCACTTGACGTTTTCTTAGCACCAAAGGCATCATAACTAAAAAAAATAAATAAATTCAAACAAACAACTGATTCCAATCCTAGCTTCACCAGAGATATAGGCCTTAGACAGAATGATCTCGCCAACCCTCTGCTTTCTCATCTGTAAAATAGGAAAAGAATGTTACTACTCACAGAGTAGGAGAAGCTACATGGATGACGCATAAACCGCAATCAGCCTAGTGTCCCGATTATGATTAATGTTTGGTTAGAATTTGGTGGGAATGTAAGAAAGGAAAAGAGTTGAGAACAGTAACAGAGTCAGTGAAGTTTCAACTATAATAGAAAGGCTAGAATTTGAAGTTGGAGTATAGATTAGGATATAAGGACTACAACAAATTCTGCAGAAAAGATTATGCAGTTAGAACTAGGGTATGACTTACAGTACAATTTAGGAAACAAGTTAGGGTTAACTTTAGATTTATGGTATGTGAAGAAACAATCTACTCCTATTGGTGAGAATGCCCTGTCACTATTATTACTTCCATCTGTGGAAAGAATTTCTGTTCTACCTAGATCCTGGAAGGTCAGAAGGGTGTTCTTACCTGAGTAAAGAGTGACAGAGCTAGCTGAGGGGCCCATGCTCATTGCTTCTTTGCCTCCTTCCAGGAGACAAGTCATTATGGTAACCTAAGCACACGTTGCTCCTGATGGGAGCTGCCACACCCAGTGAGTAGCCAGTGTTGGATGTGGCAGCAGAATGAAATGTCTAACTGGAGATTACAGCTCTGCATCAAGGTGAGGGGTCCTGGTGTGATGCTGTGGACACTTGGGCTTAGTCACCCTTCAGGTCTGGTAATGGACTCACCCCCAAGGGTGAGTTCTGTAAGGCAAACAATACACTGGGGCTCTATGCCCTCCTCAGAATAATCTAACATTTGAGATCAAAAGGGCATTTTCCCAAAGACAAAGTTCAGAAGGCAGAAAGAGGTGAGAAAGGAGGAGGAACGGAGACGGGAACCACTGGTCAGAAGAGGGACGGGTGATGGTACATCGTGGGAGTTTCAGTGACATGAAACAAAGTATGTATGAGAAGTATGTATGAGTTGTTGAATGGAAAACTGATCTGTTCTGTAAACCGTCACTCAATTCACATTAAACAGTTTTAAAACTAAAAATAAATTCAGCTATATTCAAGTTTCATCTGGTACTAGAATAAAGAGAGTACCTCACCAGCTGCTCCTTGGAAAAAAAAAATAAAATAAATATACAGGGTCACTATGGGTCAGAATTGACTCAACGGCGCTTGACAATAACAACCACCTTTGTTTTTAAGTGACATATTGAAGTATTTGGAGGTCAAGGGTCAAGATGTGTGACACCTACTATCTCTAATGGTTAAGCACATCTCCCTCCAGCACCCTTCCTCCTAGTTGAGTGTATGTGTGTATGATTGTGAGAGAGAGAGAGGGGGAAAAATGTGGTAGCTTTGGTGAATCTAGGTAACAGTTATATTTGTCTTGGAACTTTTTTATAGGTCTGGTGGTGTGTTTTTTTCCCTTCAAATTAAATTTAATAGTAGGTCACACATTTTCAAACTTCCAACAAGCAGAAATAAACATACCACATTGTCTCACTGCAAAAATATGAAGCACCAACCTTCCTCCCACAACACTGCCTACCCTGCTGGATTCAGTAACTCATTGCAATGGTTTCACAGAACTCCAAGAAATACTTCCAGTTATGGGGTTTATTAGGAGTCCTGATGTGGTGCTGCGGGATACCGCACTGAACTGCAATGTTGGTTTGAACCACAAGTTGACGGGTCAAACTCACCAACCACTCCTCAGAAACCCTATACAGGGTCACTATGAGTTGGAACCTACTCAGCACTTAACAACAATGGGGTTTATTAAGGAAGTTAACAGGTTACAGGATCCAAAAACCCTCAGGGCAGAGTGGATCAAATGCTCCAGTCAGTTGCAGATAAAACATTCATGGCACACACCACTTCACTATAAGCCTCAGCCTGAAGGCATTCGGCTTCAGCCCTGTGGGTCAACAAACTAGCTCCCCAACTTGAGTGACTGGAGGCACCCAACTCTACAAGCAAGCTTCTGCCCAAAGTCACGCCACTTGACTTGCTCCGTAGGCAGGGAAGTCCATTGTTCCATCTCCTGCTCTGGGTCTTGGTTCTACTACTACAGCTGCTGAGCCTCTAGTCTAACAACTTCTGTCTCTGGGTTAAGGAGGTTCAGTGTGTGAGGATCTCAGGTTCGGTCCAAACCACTCCTGTTTTTTCTTATTTGATGATAACAAAACCCCCCTCTCCTGCGTCTGAGATGGTTCATTTTATATCCATTCTAGAGTTCCAGGTTCTTACAATTAACTCTGCTCACATCCACAGCTGAATCATGTCAATATCTTCTCCTACTTTCTCTTACCCAGAACTGTTGTTGTTGTTAAGTGCCACTGAGTCGGTTCTAACTCATAGCAACCCTGTATAGGGTTTCCAAGGTGCAGCTGGTGGGTATGAACTGCCAACTTTGCAGTTCAAACCAATCTTGCAGTCCAGTGTCTTATCCTGCAGCCCCACAGCAGGACTCCTAGCTAGACCTAGCAGGGGAAAAATGTTTTGGTGGAGTTACAGACTATGGCTAGAAGTGACATACATAATTCACTACACCACATTCTCACATAAGTGCAACAAATCTATAAATGAAAAATAAAAATTAGGTTAAAAATGAAAAAAAACTAATTTTTTTTTAAATACCCTCTCAAATAATTCTTGGGGAAAAGGGGAGAAAAACAGCAATTACACACCATAAGAAATAAATGAGAATCTACTAAATCTGAATTCAAATGAAATTTGTAACTAATCTCAAATGCATACTGGCATCATGATTAGGAGAGCATATGTTCGATCGTGGACCCACCACTTACAGGACCTTAGGTAAGTTAGTGTATCTTTTCCCTCATCTATGAAATGAGAATGTTAATATTGTAAGGATTAATTTTAAACAAAGTAATTGCTAGCACTGAATAAACTTCCAATAAAAAATAGCAATTATAATTATTAAACAAGTATTCTAATGATGGCTTTTTGCATTACAAGAAGTAATTTTCTGGCCTAAGTAGAGGAGCAGGGTCAAAGGTGAGAAGTAAATAGAATATCCAGTGGTTCAAGCTGCATTCAGAAGAGGATGTGAAATGAGGGATATTATAGCTGACATCAGATGAATATTGGCTGAAAGCAGAGAATACCAGAAAGCTGTTTACCTGTGCTTAATTGACTATACAAAGGCTTTTGATTGTGTGGATCGTGTCAAGCTATGGACAGCATTGCAGAGAATGAGTATTCTGGAACACTTAATTATGCTCATGAAGAACCTATACATAGACCAAGAGGCAGTTGTTAGAACAGAACAAGGAGACACTGAGTGATTTAAAATTAGGAAAGGTGTATGCCAGGGTTGTATTCTTTCACCATACTTATTCAATCTGTATGATGAGCAAATAATCCAAGAAGCTGGATCATATGAAGAAAAATGTGACATCAGGATTGGAGGAAGACTCATTAACAACCTCATCATACAACCTTGCTTGCTGACAGAAAAGAGAACTTAAAATACTCACTGATGAAGATCAAACACCACAGCCTTCAGTATAGGTTGCACCTCAATGTAAAGAAAACAAAAATCCTCACCACTGTACCAATAAACAAAATTAAGATAAATGGAGAAAAGATTAAAGTTGTCAAAGACCTCATTTTACTCAGCTCAACCATCAACACTCATGAAAGCAACAGCAAGAAATCAAACAATGTATTGCATGAGGAAAATCTGCTACACAAGACTTCTTAAAAGTGTTGAAGAGCAAAAATGTCAGTTTGAGGACTAAGGTGTGCCTGGCCCAAGTCATGGTGTTTTCAATAACCTCATATGCATGCGAAAGCTGGACAGTGAATAAGAAAGACCATAGAAGAATTGATGCATTTGAGTTACGGTATTGGAGAAGAATACTAAAAGTACCATGGACTGCCAAAAAAACAAATCAATCTGTGCTGGAAGAAGTATAGCCAGAG